AACCTGGATTCTGTTCTAATTTGACCATATTTGGGTATTTGTACTGCGCGCGCCGTCGTCAAGTGACGTTCCCGTTCTCTTGCTAAATCAGCCTATTGAAGAAAAACGTACTGATCAGTTAAAATTTTTAGCGACAACAAAGATACGGATGCCACGGCTTGAAAAATTTAACCTTCATTTTTCACGTTTGTCAACTACAATCCATCTTGTTTCACTGGAGTGCAGTGAATCCATCGCGACGCATCTTATCTCCGAAGATTTCCGTAATCTTCCGAACGCGTGTCGAAGCTGAACAAATAAACTTCCAGAGATTTCAGAAGTATTTCGAGACTTCCGGTCTGATGTCACGCCAGCTACTATAGACTTTCGAAAAATGTGCAAGCTCGAACAATGCATGAAAAAAGTCCATGTAAATCATGATACTTCCCCAAAATCTTCGATTCTGGAAGGAAAAAAGTCGGTAATGAAAAGTACTGACGAGAAAGTTGTATAGTGAAACCTCAGTTTCTCAAAATAATAAACTTGTCCTTGTTTTCCGAGCGTGAACTGTGTGACTTGCACGCTGGAAGTTTACGGTGTATTTCTGGTCCGTGATCGTGGGATTTTTTTTTTATAACATTTTCAGTCATGTAACAAATGTGTTATCAACCAAGCTTCTACTGGACCGTACTGAGAGGATATTGGCCCTCGATCCTTTTTGTACGTACTGCCAAAATCTTGCGCCGATAATCTCCTCGTACTCAGTTCAGATATATGTAACGAACTCATACAAAGTCAACCTCACTTTTCTACTTACCGCATAGTTTCACGATTATCGTGACGCCGTATGTACCCTGTTGGAAAATGACAGCTTTCTACAGGAATAAGCACGGGTATTGTTTTAAATGTTAACGGAGAAGGTCACTCTAAAAAACGTAATATTTTTTGTCAACGCGAATAAAAACCTTGCGCTAAGTTTAGCCACTCACTGAAGTTTCACCCTCTAAAGGACATGTTTTCCTTATGAATTTCGTCTCCAAACAAGCCCAAAATTTGGACATCGTTGCCGCCATTTTGAACAGTGCTCAGCAGCCAAGGCCGCGTTTTCGTGACGTCATTCGGTCCAAGAGATTTTGTCCAAGTGGCTTCCGAAGAGCCTTAACTACCATTCTGGGTTAAGGCTGCTCTTGAGCCAATATTTTGAGCCAAACATGCTCCAAACTCCTGAATGATAGCATTGTCGATAGTGAAGTGGATAATCGCTTGGAAAAAAATAGATTTTGCTGACCTTGTGAAGGATGCCAAGTCAAAGAAGAAGACATATTGATTATCGCAGTTATATACACAACGCCTGAAAAAACTTCAGGCTTGAACGGGATTCGAACCCATGACCTCTACGATACCGGTGCAGTGCTCTACCAACTGAGCTATCAAGCCAACTGTGAACTGGTCATATTGTGAGTTCGTAACGGTTTCAATTTTCATAGGTTAATTATCTCCCAAGTTATTACACTGTCTTCAGTATGTCAATCAAAGTGGAATACAATTTTATTTTTAATAAATTATTGCAGAAATGTTACAACTTCCTGATAACATCCAGTTATTCTTAACCCTC